CAAGGAGGCCGCCTTGGGCAGCAGTGGTGCTGGTGACCCGGCCCCGGGATGCAGCCAAAACATTCCTGCGAAAGAGGATGCAAGTCTGTGTGGGGTGGGGTGGGGAGAGCCAGATCGGGGAATCCTGCTCATCTCCTTTCCCTAATTACGCCGTCCCTGTCTGTTCCCAAACACCCACAGCACCCCAACTTTCTGTCCCTGCCTCAGACCGGCTTCCCCGACTCTCCGTCCCTCCCTCCCCCCTTACCATCACACGCCTGCTGCTCTGCCCTTGCAGTTTGTTCCTCAACCATTCACAGATGTTGTTTGTCTTTGTATTGCTGCCCTCTCAACCCCACACGGCCGCCTCGTGCTGGAAACGGTTACTTCCACATAGCCCAGTCCATGGAGTGGGAGTGGGACTGAGTCTGCGCACAGCCCCTGGCTGCAAGAGTGAGGTCTCCACGTTGGATGAAGGCCCAGGGATGGCTTGGTACTCAAGTCCTCACTTAACGAACCTCGTTTAGTACAGGCAGGAATCTGACAAGCAGTCCCAGCCGCTGGGCCTCCAGCACTGCAATTGGCCCAGCTGACTGAACTCCAACCAGACGCTGTGACGGCACAGGTCAGTGGCCTGCTTGTGTCACTCCCGCTTTCCATCCACACATAGGGGGGCCAACACGCTGTCGCCCCAGAGTTCTCAGAGCTGTTCTGGCCCTGGGCTGCCTGATTCTGGAATCAGGAGTGGGAGCCAAGGTGGGGAGAGGCAAGGGTGGCATTGCGGACCAGGTCAGGGCTGTTTCCTGACGGGTGGTGCGTCGGTGAGTCAGAGCTTTCACAGGATGCAGAACCAAGAGGAGGTGTGTGTGTGTGTGTGTGTGTGTGTTCAGAGAGGTTCATCCTAAGGAACCAGCAAATCAGAAATCTGCAGGGCTGCCTGGGGACCCGGGCAGGAGCTGGTGATTCGGGGCCGACTAGAGCAATCTGGGGTGGAGGTCCTCCCGCCTCAGGGACTCAGCACAGTCTTCCCCCCTGTGGACTTCGGCTGGTTGAGGAGTTCTCCCCACAGCCGGGGGGACACGCTGCCGTACTCAGAGGGAACAGTTAGTCCCGTCTGAGAGGCACCCGCACAGGGACATCTAGACAGGTGTGTGATCAAACATCCAGGTGCCAAGGCCTCTCCAAGACATAAAATAACCCCTGGGAGCCTCACTCATCCTCACAGCTGGTGCTCACTGATTCTTTCCAGAAGCTTTAGGGCACTGCAGCCCACGAGGGTGTAGAGAGGGAACTTGTCAGGACTGATTTTGTGTGTGGTATGCAGACAAAAAGGAGTTCCCACAATCACTGATCTTTACAGGTGATTATACAAGTAATTTTAATTTTTTGCTGCAATTAATGTGGTACATTTCTTACATAAGAAGATTAAGAATATAGAAGAGGCTTGGACAATTTGAATGTCATCATCTGCATTGTTTTTCTATTAATAATGAAGACTATATTGGAGACATTTGCCTATGAGTATCCCCTTTGGAAATAAAGAAATTACCTGCCAATAGATGTCAATTTATTAACTATGAATGCATCCTTTTAGAGCAATGAACTTTTTGTACTGAGTTTTTTTTCTCCCCTGAGACAGGGTCTCACTATATAGTTCAGGCTGGCCTTGAACTCACTTTGTAGCCCAGGCTGGCCTAGAACTCAAAGCGATCCTCCTGTCTCAGCCTCCTGAGTGCTGGGATTGCAGGTGTGTCCACCACGCCCAGCTTTGAGTTTTGTTTACTTCTTTCCCTTGCTTGTTCTGAAAGGGTCAGTCTCACTATACGAGAGCTGATAGAATGAGCATGCATGTGTCACCAGGGTGTAAGCTGCACACAGCACAATGGGACTTGTTTGAACTGAAGACTTGAAGACAGGAGCTAGGGACTTTCGCAGAGGACATTGGGAAGCACGAGTAGTGGTGGACACTGCTGTGGCAGTCAGTAGAACAAAGGCCACATATTTTGAGTCAGCCCCGGGTTCAGCCTCCTAGTTTCCAGGTGGGGTGTGTGTGTGTGTGTGTGTGTGTGTGCATGTGTGTGTGATGGTGCGATTGCTGGGGTAGAACCCAGGCCTTGCGCAGGCCAGGCAAGTGCTCCATCACTGGCCACACCCACGCCCCTCCAGGTGAGCCGTTTCAGTTCTGCCTTCTGCTGTCAAGGTCAGAGCTCTTCCCAGTGACGGCTCCTGCACTTGAGATTTCTCTGAACAGTCACAGCACGTTTGCCACATGGTGCTGGGGTTCAGCTGGTGGCCTTGGTCCTTGGCTTTGGGGTCCTAACTCAATTTGCAGCAAGTCTGAGACGTCAGAGCGGTCGATTCTGGGTGTTGGTGGGGGATGGGCATGGGGCCATCCGGGAGAAGCCCTGCCAGGGAGGAGCTGTGGGACTGGACAGCTGAGCTTCCCACCCTACCAGATTCCTCATTTAATTCTTCTTTAAATGTTCCAGCAAATAAGCCAGCAGGATGGTACACACCTGTAATCCCAGTTACTCGGGAGGCTGAGGCAGGAGGATTACACGAGCCTAGAAGTTTGAGGCCAGCCTGAATAACATCAGTGAGACCCTGACTCAAAAACAAAAAAAAACAAAAATAAAAAGAAAGAAAGCAGCCAGGCATGGTGGCACAGGCCTGTAATCCCAGCACTTGGGAGGCTGAGGCAGGAGGATCATTGTGAGTTCGAGACCAGGCTGGGCTACAAAGTGAGCTCAAGGCCAGCCTGCACTTTTTCACTATTCTCTTTAAAATTAAAAAAAAATTAAAAAAAAAAAAAAAAAAAAAAAAAAAAAGAAAGAAATATCACACATTTTCAGGAGGCTGAGGCAGGAGGATCACCATAATAAGTTTGAGGCCAGGCTGGGCTACATAGTGAGACCCCGTGTTCAAAAAAAAAAAAAAAAAAGAAACCAAAGTAAAAAGCAATAAAACAATTGTAATGGGGGACCTTAACACCCATTGTCACAAAGAAGCAGATCAATTAGACAAAAAATCAGCAAAGAAATATCAAAACTGAAACAAACTTGTGAACAAATGGACTTAGTAGATGTTTACATAATGTTTCACATCTGATGTTTCAACATCAGAATACATATTCCTCTCTGCTGGACATGGGTTGTTCTCTAAAATAGAC